ATCCAGAAATGTAGAAATAGGAGGAAAAATTTTCAGCATTAATTAATTAATTTGATTTCTAAAGTTATATGCAAATGAAGATATACGTAATAGCTATACCTCTATTTACATGTTTTTAAAAATCAAAAAAAAGTGTAAATAGAGGTATACGTAATAATATTCATTAATGAATAAATGTATTAAGAGGCGCCGTAGTGTACTCATTTCATTATTATAATTATTATTGTTATTTAGCTGATTTAGACAGCATTTTACCTTTTCTATTTATTTGTTTACGTATTTGTTTATTAATGAACATTTGTCTTTAACAATCAATTTAATGCACATTATTACGATTATTGTTGTTAAGAATTGATTGAAAGTCTTTAAAATTTTTATTTTTCTTTCTTCATTTAATTAATTTTAATGGAACTTGAAAAAGTTAAAAATACCACTAAAAATGAAATTTTAAATTTCATTAAAAATAAAATTTTAAATCTTAGAAAAAAACATTCCGAATGTTTTTCATCGTTTTTGATCTTACATATAATACGAAATATAGCGCGCAATGCAATGAGTTTCATCTCATTCTTACTATTATTTTTTCTCATTTACAATGAAATTTTGTTTGTAGTTGCGAACACTTCATAGACGTATATTAATTTTACTTTTTCTTGTGAAGAAAACGAGAAGGGAAGTATTTTTATTAATTAGTTATTGATTATCGTCAGCATTAGAAAAACGATTGGTGATCCCTTTGTTTCTAGAGATAATGAATTGAAGCGAAGGATTATGGTAACTTACCGTGATCGTTATGCTGTAGTGTATTGGGGGGGGGGGGGGGTCCTTTTCCATGAACATTTTAAAACCACCATCTTTGTTTCCCACTATTTCTATTTGTTTTGTAAAATTTTTGGGAATCAAATGTGAAATTGTTGATTCTGACAGGTACGAAAATAAGATAGTATGCGTGTATGGGCCAAGTATCTAAAATTTGCGATTTAACAAATCGCTTTTTTCTTGTGCCTCCTAGTCGAAGGCTTGGAGTTAATAAAATTGTCTAAATAAATCTTTTTTCCTCGTAGGCAAACAGAATGTGAAAAAGCTTTCTTTTGCCGACCCGATCTATCAGAAAAAAAGGACCTTTTGCTTTTTGCCGATCCGATCTATCGGAAAAAAAGGGAGTTTTGATTGTTGATTTTATATGAATTTTCAATTTCCAGATAAATTGGACTGTGTGAAATTTAATTTTTAAATAACTGTGATGAGTTCCTTCTTGCCAAATGTTAACCAAACGCTTGTCATAGACAAGTCCGCGACTTATTGATGTGTTGATTTTTCATTAAATTTATCCCAAAATTTTATTGATTTGTGGTTTTTTTTATTTTGGAGGAAGGATCTAAATATAGATGATATTCCAGCTATGTTTCACTTTTTCAAGAAATTAGTAATTAATTTTTGATCGCTTGTTATCCTGACAATTAAGAATATCGATAATCACACGGTCACGATATTCACGTGACATTAATTTACTATGTATGCGACGAAGTAAATTGAATAACAGTTATAGTTGTTGACATGGAGTATATTGATGCTACTGCTGAAATTTCTTCTTGTTCGTCTTCTAATTATTTTTTACAATAAATCGAATTCAACACTTCGAAGTAAAATTACTTTCATTTTCCCAGAATGAAAAAAAACACTCAAATGTAACAAGATCAGGAAATAGTGGGATTGTCCACCAATCAGCATCATTTGTAAGACATAAATATATTTTGTTATAAATTTATTAATGGGAAGTGAATATGAATTATGCAGATAGTGCGATGACATCATTTGAACTAACAAGAATTTATATTATATTTATTAACAACGGAGGTATGATTGTTATGGACTGGATCGGAAGTTCGCAATATTTTGTTTGCAAAATTTTCTTGATGTAAAATTAATTGTTATGCTGCAAGTTAGACTTTATGATAACAATGAGAATGAAATTTTTTTCCCCTGATAAAATCTAACCTAATTAAGCAGTAAATCACGATTCTCACATAATTCTATTAACATATGGAAAATGGCTTCAGAAATGCAAATGTCTCGTAAAGTGTTATTTAAAGTTTCAAAGCGTATTGGAAAATGTTGCATAATATTTGTTGATTGTATTGTATAGGAAGAAAATGATAGAATGTAAAATCAAAAAATTAATTCTACGGAAGTTGCAAATGTGGAAACAATCAAGGTTGCCCTTTAAAGGATTTTTTTTAATTTCTTCCAACATTTTATCGATGATGATTGTTTTAGCTTCATTGTTGAAAAAAAATAAAGTTACATTGTTTTTTAAGAGTTTTTCAATTTCCTTCCATCAATTCAATTTTTAAATGTTTTTCAAATATACAAATTAAATTCAAAATGTCGGCCTAATTTTTTCTTTCAGCATCTATATAAAATAAATGGTAATGTATCAGTAAATCATTATTTATTCATGATAAACTACTATTCCAAACTTCCATTTCATAAATTTGTTTATAATTGAACATGTTGAATTTTTTTCCCTAATTAGGCATATCGAATAATATCTCATATCATAATGCAGTTCGAATAATATAACTACTATGCGTATGATAAGAAAGTTTTTGAGTTATTATTATATATAATATAAATACTATGTGTACTATAATAAACAAGTTTTCGAGTTTATAATATATATAATATAAGTACTATGAGTATGATAAGAAAGTTTACGAGTTGCCATATTACTTTCGTAGTAATATAATATGATATAACAAATTCATAGCTTAATAAAGAATAAAGAAAAATAAATTATGCTTGAAGAATTGAACTGAACAAATTGTGATAATGATAAAAATAAACAATAAATTCTTTTTCGGATCATTAAATAAGTCATTGTCTCTCTTTTTCTTTATTTTATAATCTTTGTGAATGATTCATAGTTTCAGTATTAGAGAAATGAAATTTTCTATTTAGTAAATTAAGAAATTTTTATATCATTTAAATCATTTAAAAATTTTATATTATTTAAAAACTCTTTTTAGCTACTATATATGCAAAACAAAGTTTGATAATTTTTCAATACTGATTTAATTCACAATGAATTAATTCTTAATTAGAATTAGTGTTGAAAATCATTTCTTATTCTCTACATCTTCGTTATTAATTAAGAAGATAATGAGGTAGTCAGAAATTGGAGGAGAGATTAGATGAGAAAAAAAAAGAGAAGGAAAGTTAGAAAGTTGAGGGTAGAGAGAAAAAAACAGTTTTAAATTTTGATAAATTTTCGATAGATGCAGGCAATTTTCCTATTATTGCTGGTGATGGAAGACGATTGGTTGATGTAAAAGGTCATTCCTCTGTTTCTTATGCCTTTGCCAATTAAATATGAGAGTTTTAAAAATTGTTAGTGCCTATTCAATTCAGCATGAGCTATTTGATTTGTAGGAAATTTAAATGATGTTATTATTATTGGAAGTTTAAGTTGTAATTTGGAAGTATTGATTTGAAAATTTTCGATTTGTTTCATTGTTTGATTTATCGATGAAATAAGGTAATATGAATTTGACTTTGGATATACTACCATTTTATTTGGATCATATTATTGTTGATAGTACTAAAGGATAAGATTAAAATTATTCAATTATGATCAATTAGCTTGACTTCTGAAGATTACTTGAGAGAGATAAGAGATGAATTATTGCTTAAATAGAGGAAATTATTTATTGAAGATTTTTCTTTTCTTCTTTTCATCTTAGTTTAAAGCATTTTCAGAATGTTGCACGCATAATCGAAGTCAACGGGTCAATTTCTTAAGGATATGTTACAGATAATTAAGCAGCAAAACTTAAGAGGTTTTATTTCATTCTTAAAAGAATCAAATGGATGTATCACAACTATGAGAATTGGTTTAGGATAATTTAACTTTTGATCAAAATTTTGGAATTTATTTTAATACTTTTAGAATTACTTTTTTTTTAAAAAAAGGCAACTAATGATAAATGCGGTAAAGATTTTGGCAATATTTCTGGTTGTCAACCTTTGGTCGAGATTGATTATTACAAGATGTTGTCAGATTTAAACGGAAACGATGTAAAGATTATGTCAACCTTTCTTTCACTTCTCTCCTCCACATTTACCACTTTTTTCAATTCCTTCCTGATATTCATACTTTCAAAAAACCAAAGAACGAACTAGGAATCAATAATTCTTCGAGCGGTTTATGCTACTTTGTTAGATGATAATATTGTTATAAGCTAATGAGAAAGATATCTTCAGATGATCGAAAACTGTTTGGTTGACATCCCGGGTTATAATCTTTTCATGCTGATTTCACGGTTAGCGATGCACAACTTACATGAAAATGCATATGTTCATGCATGTAGGTGTATGTATATGTTATGACACGATACGCACACATGCACACACATACACAGACACACACACACATTACATATACACATATGCATACGCACATACACATGCAGAAATCATTCATTTTAGAACGAGGTCATTGACTCGATTCTGCCAGCCAGTCATTCAGCTTTATTGAGGACAAAATTTCTTCTTCTATTGTGTTAGTATTTCAGTTAAGCTTTTTGGCAGTCTTGTTAAACTTGTATTATTTAGATGAAAGCTAAAAACCATATAGATCAAACCTAGAACATAGGACTGGGATGAAATACCTATTTGTCGCAAAAAAATCTTTCAATCCACTAGTGGCTGTAAAATTTCACGCTACTTATCATTGCACTCTTACCTATATGTTATGTTTGAATAATCGAACTTTCCTGAATGGTAGTGTACTGTGATTTGATTGACTTTACATCCACTAACCTAAAGTTCAAATTATAACCAAATCAACATTCATCGATTGGAAAGAAAAAGTATGGGAAATAAATTTTTCATTTTTTTCTTAATTCCGTAATAATGATAGGAATATAGGATCTTTTTTTTGAGCAGTATTCAGCACAATCTTTGGATACATATCACTTTCCGGATTATTTTCAGCAGCAATGTTGACTGATTATTGCCACTGGTCTTTTGGATCAATTGAATTGCAAAAGCTAGCTATTGTTAAATTCGGCTACTTGTCTGCTTTCTTTCCTGGTTTGTATGCGTCCGAATAGTTTTAGTGTTATTCAACAGTAGTTTGATATGGTTTCTCTTCGGATAGTGTTAGCTGATAAGCCTTATCATTTTGTCGATTACCGATTCTGTGTGATCTAATAATTAGTAATGTATGCAAGGCTTTGTTTGTCCTAATTTTCAATTCAAGTACTTTTACTACATCTTGATTACTTGAACGTATGATTGATTTCATAACGAACATATTTGTTTAAGCTCTTATGTCTTGCTATCAGTCATAACATACATGAAATTTAGTACACAGACTGTTGTGACACATATATTAAATTCTCTGTGCATGAGGAATCGTAAAAATGATTTGGTATACTGAATATCGTTTAGGTGATAAGTTTGTGAAAATCGTTATACCTAAATATACAGGCAATCTAAAGTACCATACGACTGATGAAGTAATATCGCGTGTTCTTGAGTATCTTATCACTACTCGTTTTGAAACACATTCTGGTGAAGACCAATTTTGCTCTTATATTGTTTCATGATCCTATGCTTCTGGAGAGTACAAAAAGCCAATATCACGTTTTCTCTTTCTCGTGTAGCCAGTATTCTGCTTCCGTGGACGTGTGATTGTTATTATATTTTCGGTTTATTTCAGGGGTATGTGAATTCGTGTTCTAGCACTGAAGCAGTAAATAAGAATATAATCTGGAAAAACAGTAACACACCGCCTGCGCGGAAATCATTCCGAAAGGTTAAAACTCAGGACACTGCTTCAACACTGTCCACTACCAACGGACAAAATGTATGTATTATCTTGATTTTTTAGAATTTAATGAAACTAAAGGATTCAAGTGTCGCATGTAGCGTTATTTCTGAAGATTTACATAGTTTGAGACATATGCCGAACCTTATTTCACAGTACCATACATTGTAGTGTACGTAATCTTTGTATTGGAGAGAAAAGTTTTAATTTTCCGCCTACAATAACGGTTGGATTATTGAGTTGCCGGAAAAAAAAGAGGCAATCCGTTAGAAAACAGGTAATATCACTCACGCATAATGTCATAATATTTCTATTTTTCTTTTTTATAAAAAATAGGATAATTGATTGTAATTTGGGAGTTTTTTTATTTCTCTATAAGAGGATTTAAACAGATGGATGGGAATATTACGACCGTGTGCTCGATTGCTTATTCAAGTGGCTTTTTTGAAGATGGCGTTGAATGACAAGGAAAGGAGATTGAGAGAGAGAGAAAGAGAGAAAAAAATGAGCTTTAATATTTTTCACTGTTTTCATATTTCTGTGGTGTGACTTACTTTCGTAAAAAAATAATGATTATCTTTCTTATTTCCGATACAGATGTGCATCTCCGGATTTTTGAGTAGCTCGTAACACAAAATAATATACATGTCACACCTAGTTATTTTTAATTTGACAGTATTAATAAACATTGCTTTCTTCTAATATAGAAGTTGCAAGAAGAAAGGATGGAGATTCTTACCTCACAGTGTTCACAGATATTATCAGTAGGCCCTTACAACCTACAATGTTTGAATTACTGATTCATTTTAGTTTCTTCCTTTTCTTTTGAATTATAATAGCAAGTATATGTGTGTTTCTCGTTTACACTGTGTTCATTATTTTCTCAATAGTATTGAAATTAAATAAAATGACTAGCAATAAAGTTAAACAGCTTTGTGAAAAGATAATTATACAAATTAATGACAATTCAGGTAATCGAATTAGCTGCTACCACATTATCATTAATTATGAATATGTTGATCAGCTGTTATCTAATTAATGTTTTGCGTGTTTCAACAAAAAGAATGAATCGTTACATTTTTGCAGAAAACACCTTGTTCATCAACCAAAGTACCGACCAGTGCTTTTTGTCATCTACTGTCAGAACCGCATAACCGGATGGCGACTACGGTGCAACATGCACCAATGACTGCACCGTCATCTTCCAGTTCCCATCATCATGCCGCTGCTGGAGGCAATGGTTCGCATACCAATACCCAAATATCCTCTCATCATGGAGCTCACCCAAGGTGCTGCTCTTATTTCATGTTTTCTAAGTTGCATTAGTAACATCATGATTCTTTTGAAAATTAGAAGTCATAATCATGAGCCATTTTTAAAATCCTGATGGTTGATTAGCATATTATTATGAAACTGTTATAATTATTTGGAAAAAAGGAGAGAGACCTTGATGAAAACATCAATTCTACAGTGAGAAGTTAGCCAAGAGACCAGAGAAACTCGGTGTTAGAAATTTCAAACGAAGCAGCAATGTTAATGTTTGACGTAATGATGTGAAAATCAAGGTTAATAATCGTTATATTAATAATCGTTTATAACGATTATAATAAATGTTCAGTTCAAGCTCCCATCATGGCACTGGTAGTGGATTTCATGGAAATCATCGTTCTTCGAATCTGAATGCAACTCGTGTGCAAAGCAGGTCGCGAACCACTGATGACCCACATATTGGGAAATATAAGTTGCTCAAAACAATTGGCAAAGGAAATTTTGCTAAAGTTTGTCATTTCAACTTCTCCTATTTCACATGTCGAGTGGGTAAACACATACAGTTTTTACGAAAATTGTAACAATTGATGGATTTTGCATGATATGAAATCGTTGTTAATTGCATAGAAGTCCTACTCAACTGTCTATGAGTATTCCAGTAACGGAATTGAAGCTGTTATTAGACCAAGAAAGCTTGAAAGGTAACTGTGGAGGTTTTTTATAACTAGCCTCGCGAAGAAGTGCAATTAGAAGACCAATTGATATTTCATTCTTTCACTTCAGATTTCATTTGACGCTTCATGAATATATGATAGAAAACCGAAGGATTAATCAAAACTTTCTTCCCATTTTGTTCATTTTATAGGTTAAGCTAGCCAAGCACATTCCTACGGGTATCGAGGTTGCGATTAAGATAATCGACAAAACTGCTCTCAATCCAGGCAGTCTACATAAGGTTTGACTCTACTACATATTTTCTTTGTTATCTGAAAAGGGGGAGCATATGGTTCTATTCCCATTTTTTTTTTCAATTACTGGAATGGAAATCGATTTTACTCGTCAGGTACTTCAGCCATTAAAGATTAATGTATTTGTTTTTTCAGTTATTTCGAGAAGTAAAAATAATGAAACAGTTGGATCATCCAAATATTGGTATGCTAGAAACAATACTTCCATTAAATTAACTAGATTTGTTTTTCTATGTTATATAAACTGTAATTTAGTTGTGCGGAGATCTAAATTGCCAAATTAAATAATTGAAGTAAACATGGATATAGGCACTAATCTTTTTTATTGGGCTAGTGGAGGAGTTACTGGACAGGAAAAAATGTTTTATTTCGAGCTACTGATAGTACTGTTTTTCAGTGAAACTTTATCAAG